GTACTGTGTTACAAGGACATGACGGCGGTGTTCTTAGTTACAAGGACATGATGGAGATATAGTTACAAAGACATGACGGGGGAGTACTTAGTTACAAGGGCGTGACGGGGAAGTACTTAGTTCCAAGGACATGCCGGGGGTGTCCTTTGTCACAAGGACGTGATGGGGATGTACTTTGTTACACGGACTGGACGGGGATGTACTTTGCTACAAGGACGTGACGGAGATGTACTTTGTTACAAAGACATGACGGGGGAGTACTTAGTTACAAGGGCGTGACGGGGAAGTACTTTGTTACAAGGATATGACGGGGATGTACTTAGTGACAAGGACGTGACGGGGATATACTTAGTGACAAGGACGTGACGGGGATATACTTAGTGACAAGGACGTGACGTGATTATACTTAGTTACAAGGACTTGACGGGGATGTACTTAGTGACAAGGACGTGACGGGGAAGAACTTAGTTACAAGGACACGACGGTGATGTACTTAAAGTTTGTTACAAGGGCATGACGGGGATGTACTTGGTTACAAGGACGTGACGGAGATGTACTTTGTTACAAGTTAGTTACAAGGACGTGCCGTGATTGTACTTAGTTACAAAGACGTGACGGGGATGTAGTTTGTTACAAGGGCTTGACGGGGATGTACTTTATTACAAGGACATGACGGTGATGTAGTTTGTTACAAGGGCTTGACGGGGATGTACTTAGTAACAAGGACGTGACGTGATTGTACTTACTTACAAGGACGTGACGGGGATATACTTAGTGACAAGGACGTGACGTGATTCTACTTAGTTACAAGGACATGATGGGGATGTTCTTTGTTACAAGGACGTGTCGTGATTGTACGTTGTTACAAGGACATGATGGGGATGTACTTTGTTACACGGACATGACGGGGATGTCCTTTGTTACAAGGACGTGTCGTGATTGTACGTTGTTACAAGGACATGAGGGGGATGTACTTTGTTACACGGACATGACGGGGATGTGTACTTAGCTACAAGGACGTGACGGGTATGTACTTTGTTACAAGGATGTGACGTGATTGTACTTTTTTACAAGGACATGACGGTGATGTACGTAGGTACAAGGACGTGACGTAGATGTACTTAGTTACAAGGACCTGACGGGGATGTACTTTGCTACAAGGACGTGACGGGTATGTACTTTGTTACAAGTTAGTTACAAGGACGTGGCGGGGAAGTACTTTGTTACAAGGACATGACGGAGGTGTTCTTAGTTACAAGGACATGACGGTGATGTACTTCAATACGAGGACATGACGAGGGTGCTTTGTTACAAGACATGACGGGGTGTACTTTGTTACAAGGTCGTGACGGGGATGTACTTTGTCACAAGGACATGACGGGGATGTCCTTTGTTACAAGGACTTGACGTGATTGTACTTTTTTACAAGGACATGACGGTGGTGTTCTTAGTTACAATGACGTGACGTGATTGTAACAAAGTACATCTCCGTCACGTCCTTGTAGCTAAGTACATCCCCGTCACGGCCTTGTAACAAAGTACAGCCCCGTCTTGTCCTTTTAACTAAGTACTTTCCCGTCACATCCTTGAAACAAAGTACATCCCCGCCACGTCCTTGTAACTAACTTGTAACAAAGTACATACCCGCCATGGCCTTATAACAAAGTACATCCCCGCCATGTCCTTGTAACAAAGTCCATCCCCGTCATGTCCTAGTAACAAAGTACATCCCAGTCATGTCCTTGTAACACAGTACATCCCCGTCACGACCTTGTAACAAAGTACAGCCCCGTCATGTCCTTATTACAAAGTACATCCCCGTCGCGTCCTTGTAACTAAGTACGCCCCCGTCATGTCTTTGTAACAAAGTACAATCCCGTCACGTCCTCCTATCTAAGTACATCCCCGTCATTTCCTTGTAACAAAGTACCTCCCCGTCATGTCCTTGAAACAAACTACATCCCCGTCATGTCCTAGTAACAAAGTACATCCCAGTCATGTCCTTGTAACACAGTACATCCCCGTCACGGCCTTGGAACTAAGTACAATCACGTCACGTCATTGTAACTAAGAACACCTCCGTCATGTCCTTGTAATAAAGTACATCCCCGTCAAGTCCTTGTAACAAAGTTCATCCCCGTCATGTCCTTGGAACTAAGTACAATCACGTCACGTCATTGTAACTAAGAACACCTCCGTCATGTCCTTGTAATAAAGTACATCCCCGTCATATCCTTGTAACAAAGTACCTCCCCGCCCCCCCCTTGTAACTAAGTACATCCCCCTCATGTCCTTGTAACAACGTACAATCACGACACGTCCTTGTAACAAAGTAAATCCCCGTCATGTCCTTTGTAACAAAGAACATCCCCGTCATGTCCCTGTAACCAAGAACACCGCCGTCAAAACCTTGTTACCTTGTAACAAAGTACAATAACGTCACGTCCTTGTAACTAACTTGTAACAAAGTACATCTCCGTCACGTCCTTGTAACTTAGTATATCTCCGTCCCGTCCTTGTAACTAAGTATAATCACGTCACGTCCTTGTCACTAAGTACATCCCCGTCATTTCCTTGTAACAAAGTACACCCCCTCATGTCTTGTAACAAAGTACAATCACGTCAAGTCCTTGTAACTAAGTATATCTCTGTTTCGTCCTTGTAATTAAGTACATCACCGTCATGTCCTTGTAATAAAGTACATCCCCGTCAAGTCCTTGTAACTAAGTATTTCCCCGTCACGTCCTTGTAACTAAGTACTTCCCCGTCACGTCCTTGTAACTAAGTACTTTCCCGTCACGTCCTTGTAACAAAGTACATCCCCGTCACGTCCTTGTGACAAAGTACACCCCCGTCATGTCCTTGTAACTAAGTACTTCCCCGTCACGTCCTTGTAACTAAGTATATCTCGGTTTCGTCCTTGTAATTAAGTATATCTCCGTCACGTCCTTGTAACTTAGTATATCTCCGTCACGTCCTTGTAACTAAGTATATCTCCGTCACGTCCTTGTAGCTAAGTGCATCTCCGTCCCGTCCTTGTAACTAAGTATATCTCCGTCCCGTCCTTGTAACTAAGTATATCTCCGTCACGTCCTTGTAGCTAAGTACATATACGTCATGTCCCTGTAACCAAGAACACCGCCGTCAAAACCTTGTTACTAAGCACGTCCTTGACAACCGTGGGACTATAGACACCCAATGCGCACCACAGACTCTTAATTACTTAGTAGATCGATCGGCAGGTATCACTGACCGCGCGTGCATTCGTATGTAAGGTATTGCTGATGTTTTGGTTATTCATTTTAGCAAGTGTCATTTTCCCCCAGCGGACTCGTATAATGCAACAGAATACAGTACTAACTTAATTTCAAACCGTGATGGGCTGACTGTAACAGACTGGGCGGCTGTTGAACACATTTTATAACAAACTTGTTATTTGAATAATTATATATGTCTGTGTGTATGATCAGTGGATCATACCATTGTCAAAAATACTAAGTTTTTTCGAGGAAAAGAGGCGGGAGGGGTGTGGGGTGTGTGGTTTGGATTGGGTGGGGTTGGGGGTGTAGGGATGTGAAGTTTGAATTGGATGGGGTGGGGGGTTGAGGTGTATGGTGATGTAGGGGTAAGAGGTTTGGTGTGGGGTCGGTTGTGGGGTGTGATGATTGGATTGGGTGGGGTGGGGGTGTAGTGGTGTGAGTTTGGATT